ATATATGTTAAGGATACAGAAATGAGGATATTGACTAAGTAGTAACAATAAGGAATTGTGGATTGTGCTGAAATGAAACAGAGTATAGTGGTAGTGAAGAAGTTGAATTTTAGTCATATTTATATTGAATTGGATACTATTGTAACATCTCTTCCATGAAAAGTGATGTGAACATTCCCATTGACAAAGCCTGGACTGCAATAGACAAGCCGTCAAGTCTAGAAACCTGCCAGACAGGATAAAATGAACTGGGACTTTATTCAAACCATAGCTGTATGCAGTGATGGCATCCTAATTTTCCAAGAACTGGTTCTATAAAGGCAGGTAATCTTTAGGAACCTATTCTGCTTATTTTCTTTTCAATCTGGGAATGGAAACAAATCACTTTATAGTATCAAAAAGAATTAAGCCATTTTGATAATTTAATAGAAAATGTTTATTTATTAAGATATTTCCAGATTGAAATTCTATTCTCATCTTATTTCTGTCCAGAAGTATGAAGTGTTTTGACTCTAGTGTCATCAGCTGGTTTCTTAGCCACATTCAAACTGAATCATTGCAGTCCCAAAGATCCAATGGCAGACCTATCAAATTTATGACTAAATTTGCCACATTTTTAACTTCAAAACAGTAGGGGGCATGTGTCTATTAGAGTTTCACTAGGTATGCACAAAAGGATAACAAAGCTAACATTTTACCTAGCCTATTGGTTATTAATATATAAGATTATTTTCAGATAATCAAACAACTGGTTCACTAAGCTTTTATAATTTTAAGAATTGGTTCATGGGAATTAATACAAAGCAGTAGGATGGCACCACTGGTTGTATGTCTTTCTCCATGATATCACCACATGGATATTGACAAAACAATTGGAAAAGAAGCTTAATAGCACATTTACAATGTTGCATTGAATCAATTCTGGAAACAGAACCCAACAAAAAAAGCAGCTCTATGGCAATCTAACAATCATTCAGGAGAGAAGAACAAGATTTTACAGGATCCTATATTTTTGTCATTTGAATTCCAGTCTTTGAAGTCAGTTACTATATATAAGTAATATAAGCATAGCACTAATATTACAACACCTGTTGTTCACAAACCTTATAAAATAAATTAGTTACTAGGTTAATCAAGTGGGTGATGAATTATTTTCCACCCTTCAACCTCTTCCCCAGAGGAAGGATATGGCAAGCCTCTTTCTGCTCTATCGCTACTTCCATGAAAAGTGCTTGGATGAACTCCATTCCTTGGTTCCACCAGGTCTAACCCTCATGGTTAGTACCTGCTATGCCACTTATATTGTAGCAAACCACCCACATTCCCTCTGTATTCCTTTAGTGAGGAGTAAGTTTCACTCAAACAGCTTCTTCCCGTAAATCACTGATTTGTGAAACAGACTCCCAAGAGGATGTTTCCTCGATCACTACAATCTTAACTCATTCAAGTCTAGGGTTAACTGTTATCTTCCTCACCTATATAAAATGCCTCTGTGCTTTGTACAGGGCAAACCTTACTATAAAAAAAAAATTAAGTGAAATTTTATCGATTATTCCCCAATTATGGTCAATATTTTTTTAATGACTATTAGTGTGTTTCTTTTTTATGGCCATTTTGGGGTGATTTCAGTATTTTATACTTTTGCTTTTTGATACTGTTCACACTTGATGAACAATTACAAATACAATACATCTTACACAATATTATCAACATTTTGATTTTCCTTTTAGATGAGTTATTGTCAAACATTACTTTTGTGATAAGAAGCAACAAAAAAATGAAGATAAAAAGCACAAATCAAAATTATTATGTCATTCAAAAAGACACTGTTGTTCAGATTTTTGAATGGTTCATATTTCCATTGATTTGATATGAACTACTTTATGCTTAGCACTAGCACTGACATTTGCCTCTCTTTCAGAAGCTATTCCAAGTGTTTAATATAAGCAAAATAAGCTGAATTGTTCTATAATTGGGAGGTCTTCACATATATCAGTAAATTGGTCTGGTTGTATTAGGTATTTTAAATGCTTTCTCATAATTTTGTTAGGAATAAATGAGGTGCTAAAATATCAATTGCATTTACATATGTAAATTTTGTCTGCTTGAGATGTACATTTACATGTCTGTGAACCTACAGACTGTCTATTGAAAACCATATTAATCACAATAGTCTTATATTTGATCAGTGATTTTTTTTCTCTTTGTCAGTCAAATAAATTGATGGAAGAAAATTATATATATATATATATATATATATATATATAATTTAATCAAAGGTCATTGCAAAATGTTTTTTCAGTAGGGTGGGAAGCAGCAATGAAAAATTTGCACACTAAAATTAATTCACATCATTTTTATGCAGATGGTGCAAATGATTTTTGAAGTGAACAGACCCCTACTTGGTGACAAGCTTGAGTTTTATTTTTTACCTGTAGTTTTTTACAATCGATATTTTGTTTAAAAATCATACATTTATATAAATTTGCATTTTGTGCATCTGTTCAGAAAAACTATATACTGACATATAAATTCATAATTATTAAAATCAATGACTAATACTAAAGATAAAATTTTGTGCTTCCCATTGTAAATATATTTCATCTTAATGTTGCTGATTACTATATTGCAAGCTTTTAAAGATAAATATAAAGATAATATTGAAGAATGGAAAATTAAAAAACAAAAAACAATTCAGAGATCAACTAAGTCAATTATAATTGATAAATAAAGTTAAAATATGTTATTAATAATATTAAATATAGTGAAATATATAAAAATATGAATTATGGAAAAGCAGAGTGAGATATCATTTTCGTGTCACCAACAATAATGAAAATTAAGTGCAAATGTCTTGAAGTGTTCCAAAATCATTTTTCTATTTGCACTCTTAATATGCTTTTTTTTCACCAACTGCTCTATGTCATGAGATTATAAAAAAGCAAGATATTTTTGTAATATAAACCTTGGTAAAAAAAATAACACTTCATATGAACAGTTATTGCAAATGAAAAGACAAAAAATAAACATTTCAATTTTTTCTGTTAGGTTTTTAAAAAATATTTGATAATTTTCTTTTAGAGATTATTGTTAAAAATAAACATCTCTGCACGTAGCAACAGTACAATGAAAAAATAATTTATGCCAAATGCACATTTTTTGTTACACAGCATAAGGAAACATGCTCTAAAAATACTTTTTTTTAGAAATTAAATTCCCTGATCTAATGAAGCTAATTTCAAATGACACCTATCTGAATCATGGCATAACAGCTGAAATTAGATCCTGACAAAAATGCAAAGACTAAAGTGTTAGTGTATAAGAATTTAAATTATATTATCTTCTGCAAGGAAGGCAGTATTTTTTAATTCTTTATTTGTTGGATAATATTTCAGCTCTTTCTTTTATTATTTTTAAAATAAATAAATTATGAATATAATTTATATCAAGTTATCTGTTATCAGACTCAATACAAGTCTTGCATGTTAAAAAAGCATCATTGCATTTCTTAAAAATCTTTGCCAACATTATATCAAATGTCTCTTCTATTCTGTGCTAACTAATGGTTTTTCTCTCTTGCTTTCTGTGCATGCATAAAGTGGGATAGGTAAGCAACCAAATGACTTAGATACTATCAGAAAGAAGGAGATAATTCAGAAGGAAAATTCTTTTTCTAAAATATTGATGGTAATTGGAAAAAAATATCAGACGGATTTTTGTAAAATAAATAAAAATTCTATTTTGATTATGATTTATTTTAAATTAATTTTCTCAAAAATTGACTTTATTCCAATACAAAGCACAATAAAATTCTCTAGTTTTTATGAGATGGCTATGTAACAAGAATTAATTCAAAACAGCATCTTTTAAAAATCATTACATGAAAAAAAGGAAGACCTAAAAAAATGAGATATTTATTATTTCATTAATTTTGCTAGCATAAAATTAAACCAATATTTTTTCTCCAAATATGATAAAGAATTCTATTTACGAGAAAATCTAAAAATGGCAGTTACTTGCAATCCCAATATTGATTAACAAAGAAAACAATTACTACAGTTCGTGAATCACTTGAAATTTTATACGCCTTTCGTAATATTTTGGAAGCACTCTCTAAAAATACTGTAGTCATTGAGGGGTAGTAAAAAAAATATATATATATAAAAAAAATAGCATTTTATTAATGACGTCAATAACCAATTTATCTTTTAATGTTAGACCAGAAGCTGACTAACGTACTATCCCAAATAAAAAAAAGGAAAAATATGTATGCATTCAAATTAAAAGCAAAAATGGAATATTTTTTAAAATTATGTTTATCATAGGGGCAGAAAATGAAGTAAAAACATAACAGCGAAAACGGTGGAATTACCATTTTATGAGAAGCAGATTTTGGGATCAGATTCTTTTTGTACTAGTAACGTAGCAGTAAATCCTGCTGACAAAAATTGCCATTCCAGTGTAAAAATGAACTCTAACCCCAACGATGATGAGGAAGTGAGCAGAAAAATGCAAGCTTTATTTTTAATATAGAGCATATGCTGGTTCTTGCAGAATTGAACGTACGCTTTTTCCCCTTCACAAGGCTACCTACACATTATTATTTATTTTTTAAAAAAAAAATTTTTCTCCATTCTTCCTCAGCCCGAAACAAAAAAAAAAAATTGAGGTCACGTGGCTACAATACAGAAAAACACTTATTCCCGTTCTTTTATGGTTTCGATAATGAGTATGCAAATCTCGCGAGATCTGAATTATGTTAATAAGATAAACTGGCCAATCAGCGACGAGCTCTTCAGTTGGAGGCTGTTGCATTAAGGCCACAGTATTAGGGAGTGAGAGACATCTTCTGCACGTTGCTATTTTTTTATTAGGGTTTAGGCTACTTTAGTGACTATATAAACGTAAAAAAAAAGAAAAAAACAAACAAAAAAAACTAAAACACTAAAAACAAACCTCGTGTATTTTTAATTTTTCTTCCACTTTATTCATACTTTACAATGACAGACTTCCAGACTGATCCCGTTGAAATGGACGGGGAAAACGGTGCGAACAACATTGATGGTCACGAAAATAGTGAAGACGTTGTCGAAGCATTCGATGAATCCGCGATGGAAACTATGGACGATGGCGATGACAAAGGAAATGATGACGAAGATAGTCGGTAAGAATTTTTTTTTTTTTTTGCTATGCGCTTCCTTTAATGCTACTTCTAAAATAAAGCAATATTATAATCTCGCTGCCTACTGCTTTGAATTTTAGCATTTGTTTAAAAACAAAAAATACGAAATGTACTTTCGAAAAACTAGATTTTAAGCAGCGAGTACTGGTCTGCGCTTTGATGCTAAAATTGTTTTCACCTCGTATGCATCTATTATTACTAAAGAAGTAATTTGATTTACGTTCTTGCACTATTAGGTCGTTGTGGCGGTTTTTTCTTTTTTCCTTTATGACAAAACGGACCCCCCCCCCACCTTCACACTTACACTTTCCAGGTTTTCCTGTAAAGATGGCGGTTTCTTGAATTTTGATCCGAATAAAGAAAAATCTCACATTTTCTTTGTCTTTGTGATTTCAACTACTGTTGCTGACAATGTCAGATTTTAAGTTATTTAAAATAGTAATTGAGCATAAAAGCATCTTTAAAAAAAAATTCGACTTTTCCTTTTTCCAATTTTCTTCAATTTTTCAGTTAAAAATTATCTTCAAATAACAAAAATACAAGTATAATCAAATTATTGCTAAGTTTTTACTGCTTGTATGTAAAATATCTCCCTTTCTATTCTAGAAGTACTTAATCTCGTACTTTTTTTTTCTTTGCAGAAAGTTATTCGTTGGTGGATTGAGCTGGGAAACTACAGCAAGTAAGCCAAAAAATCTATTTCGAGAATTTTTTTAATATTAAAAATTAAGTCTTTTGACATCAAAAGATTGGCACATTAAAAAATGATCATTTTCCGTTTATAATTGTTTCTTCTAATGAATCGTGAGTGTTTTCCCTTGTCTTAACATAATTTATGCGTTATAAATTGTCTTCCACTCTGTCGCACGTGTCCCCCTCACTTTGTCAATGATACTGGCACTTCCTCAAAATCATTCGCGTTTTTCCTCAAGCGATTTCATATTTTAACCAATTACTTTAATATTTTTCTCATTTCGTTACCGCTTAGAATTTATTTTATTTTTATTTTTTAATGTTTTAATATTAACGACTTTATTGGCCAACCAAAGATGGCGATTGGTCACGTGATCGCATTGGTAGCGGTTGTATTGCCGGCAGCAGTGTCTTCGTTTTCGCCTATTTATCTTTCTCATTCACATAAAAAATAATCTGCGAGATCAGTTACTACTACATTTTTTTCTTCTTCCTATTCAATACTTTATAATATCTGACACGTTTAACTGAGAAAAATGTTTGTTTCCTTCAGTTATTAATTTACGATTACTTTCACTAACGTTTGCATCATATGACGCTATCGCCATTTTTATTGTTCATTGTTGCATATCTGACACCATGTTAAATTTAAGACGTGATTATAATTCTCCATGCTGTTTGCTAAGATAATTTAAGCACACTAAATTTTCGCACTTCTTAAAAATTAAGCCAAAAATAAGGGAATCTGATCTTTTAAGTAGCTTCCCGCCTGCTCCTGTGCGGCAGTTACGAGGGGGAGCGGCAGGGAAGCAGTCTGATTACATTTTAGATTTGCACTTAGTTCGAGGAGGAGGAACATTTTATCAGTTTAACCCGGGTAGGAGGGAAATTGTTGGTGTTCTAATATTTGAATTATTCAGTTTATATCGTAATTAAGACTATTTTTTTTCATGTATGAAGTGAGCTGGATAATAGGAAAATTCGTACATAAACTTTCTGGCTAATCCGAAATTATTTACAATTTGTTCAGTAATTCAAAAATTCTCTTGCTGCTGCCGCAAAAAAAGATGGTTGCTATTGTTAATAGCAGCAGCAATGCATAAATTGTAGTGCAGCAAATCGGTTATTGCATTCCTTTTTCAAGATGCGTAGCGCTTCGATAGCTATCATGGCTGCGCTGATGCCTTTTTCCTACCACTCATTTTATTACGTTAAGAGAATAACATTCCGATTAATGACCTTTCTGGGTATCCATTTTAGTGCATTTTTCAAAATAGACCGCCATCGTAGTGCAGTTGTATAATTATTAAAGTCATTGAAGCCTCCTCCTCCTCCTTCTTCATCTCTCCCCCTCTTCCTCCCATTCTGATGAGGAAGCCATCCTTTTATGGCCATTACCCTCCCCCTCCCTCCTCCCTATCAACACTGTGCGGCGAGACGGTTGCTTGCTATTAAAGTATTCTATTTTATTCAGTGTATGGATTGTAAATTGTCAATAAATAACAGCAGTTTTTGCTATCCACTTTCTCTCGATAACGTTCAACTTTCATTTTCCTACCTTGAATAATAATAATAATAATAATAATAGCTTTTTCGTTTTTTAAAGAATTGATAGTAATTTTCTTTCTTTATTAGTTTGGCTTCAAATAAATCTTCAATTTGTGAAATGTTACGTTTACTCTTTATTTGGGTAACGTATTAAACTTGAATGTCCATTTTTGCTCTATTGCAGTGTCAGTCCTTTTCAGGATAAAATTTGATTGCGTATCAAGTGATCATTACTGCTCATCTTGAAAAATATTGATTGGTATTTATTTTTCCCTCCTGCCTACTCTTTAGAGGAAGAAAGTAAATACAAGTGCTGCACTATGTTTTATAGGTTTTATAAATTAAATTACTTAAACTTTCACATTAATAGCTATTCTCTCAAGACTGTATATTAGATTTATTAATTAAAAAAAATTGTAACATCCTTTTAATAATTAGAAACCTATAAAATGTTGTTTACAAAATAAGGTGACTGATAAACAAAATTTAACTTAAAAACTTTCCCTAATTTGTTTCTTGCATAAAATCCCAACAGAAATGGTTTCCTGTACGTGATAAAATGTGTTTTCTTTCTTCAGAGGATTTAAGAGAATACTTCTCTAAATTTGGAGAAGTAGAACACTGTAATCTTAAAACAGATCCAGTTACAAAACGGTCAAGGGGGTTTGGATTTGTCCTCTTCAAAGAAGAAGCTACAGTAGACAAGGTAAGATTTCTTTTAATGGTATGGTATACTGAAGTGAAATATACTCCTGCCTTTTTTTTTTTTTTTTTTTTTTAGGCCTGCAGTGACATTTAGCATTAGTTTTACAGTTGCAAAACACCTCTATTTGGAGATTCTCGCAAACATCAAATTGGGTTTCTAGGTCTTATTCACAAATTAATTTTGAGAATTTTTACATCTATGACACAACCCCAACTATCCCATTAGATAAGCTTTTATTTGTTTCTATAAATAACATTAAGGACATTATAGCCTGAAAAAATTTTCAATAAATTAGTTTTTCGCAGGGACATTTTTTTTTTTTTTTTTTTTTTTTTAAATTCTTATAGACACCACGAAAGTTAGGTTATTAAATTAAGGAAAAATTGAAAGCTTAATACAACTCATTGCACCAAAGATTTTTTACATTAATTAGAAATTTTGTTTGAATTACTATAACATTTCAGAAATTAAGTTACTTCTGTCATGGTATTCCAACATTACATTTTAAATTTAAGAATTTTAAAGATTTTTTTTCATAAAAGCATCTTTGAAAGGTAAATAAATCAGTAAATTATTAGATAATTGCAGAAAATATTTTAATTTGTAAAAATTACTAGGTAGTTAAAAACCAAAAAATGTGTTCACTTAGATTTTGGAATTTTGTCAATTCTGGTCATCCATACTAGCTGTCATCACTTGTTAAATGCTTGTATATTAATTTTTTATGCTATAAGTAATGTTTGAATCATTTCAGATTAATTTTTAAAATTTGCTAATTTTAATTAAATGTCACAAATATAGATTTCATTTTCATAAGATTTCTGAAACTGATAATTGTCTTATTTACTAATTTCTTAAAATTAAGAAAATGGCTGCTTTTAAGAATTTTCTTAAATTGGACAAATAGTTGAGATTCTGATCTATAAAATTTTGATTTAAAATGCGCCAGAATATTTTACTGATTGAAAACGGTAAATTTAATCCTTTTATTTTTCAATTAAAGCTAAAATTAAATCTTCAGGAATGCTTTTTCATTTTTAAAAATGTCTTAAACCTTAGGTATCAAAACTTTATACCAAATTAGTGGGAGTACCTAAATTTTAAGGCTGCTTCAGAAAAACAAGTGACCGAATTTTGTTTTGAAAATTTACCAAAGTATATTTGCATTGGGGGCGGGGGTTAATGTTGGGTAGTCAGTATTGTAATTATTAATCTCTCTTGCTTTGTTCTGCCAATTTCGATGACTAATGGTAATCTAGTTGTATTGACTTTGTCCAATTTAATGTCTTGCTTTTTTAATACTATTATTCCTTTTTTTTTTTTCTTTATACTAGGCTTTGCTTGAAAAGGAACACAAACTTCATGGCAGAAATATCGATCCAAAGCGAGCAAATCCCAGGGAACCTATAAAGAAAGTATTTGTCAGAAACCTTGATCAGAACTTAACAGAGAATGAAATAAGAGAATATTTCGGAAAATTTGGTAAAGTAAGTTCTTTTTCTTTCAAAGGTGTTGAAGAAAGACTTGAATGCTTTGACTTACATGTGTGGGTTTTAATAAAAAATTTGTTCTTCAGATTACCAAGCTTGAGCTGCCCTTTGACAAGATGCGGAATCAACGCCGGAATTATTGTTTCATTGAATTTGAGTCTGAAGAAGCTGTGGACAAGATTTGTGAAAATGCTGGCCATCAAATAGGTTCTAGAGAGGTAAGTCTTCTTTCCTATATTTGGATGAATTCCTTTTTTTAGATTATCTTTTTATATACTTTTTAAAAAATTCATAATTTAGTTTTTGTAAATTTACAACAAACTTTCAAGTGTTTTCTTATTCCAGGTAATGCTGTAAACTCATCATTTGTAACTTGTTTAATCCATGCATCCTAATTAATGGAACATTTTAAGTGGTAACAGCAGCGTTCCATGTACTACAAGTTATTCATCAATCCTGAATTTTCTACCTGAATGATTGCCGTCTTCTACGCTGAATAGAATCTACTTATTTTATATATGCATATATAAAAAAAAAAAAAAAAAAAATTCATATAGAGTAACGGGAGTCAAGGTTTATTACATACGTAAGTTATCCTAGCTGGTAACTCTGCCATGTTGATGTCTACTACGAAGGTTATAGCTGGTTTGTGCTGAATGCATTACCAATGATTGCTCCTTTTGTTCCACTTCCAGCTGCGGGGGCGCTAGTTCATGTGAATATGCTGGACAAAGGAGACCCTGAATACTACTACCGTGTCGTGGTGGTGGTCAAAGTTCGAGGTACCGCAGCCACATGTGACTACACCAGCCTCCTACTAGCCCCATTCAATGGTTAGAAGTTGTTAAACCAAATAATATTCTGCACTAACTGTTTAATTTTGCATTTAATAGGTGACATTAAGTATAAAAATTATAGTAACTTTTTTATAGTTAAACCATTACAATTATTTCCAGTCTTTTTTACCTTCTTAGAATCTTTTTATCAAGTTCTCAGTAACAGGATTATCAAGTAATAACTTGTAAGTGTCATTCTAAGTCTCCTGACTAAAGTTGGTGGTATTAATTCTGCTTATTTTTCTTCCCATTTTCATTTTTTCAATTGACCCCTTCCCTATTCTATTGTCACACTATCTGTTACAGTCAGTAATGTTATTGGTAAAGTGCTAACTTTACAGGTCCTGCAACTGGCAGAGGGAAGTCAGTGGCAGTCATTTTCATTGGTTAAATCTCTTCATGGCTATTTATCCATCCTTAAAAGTTAATGCAAATGACTGCCATTCGAGTTAACTTTTCCCCATTATTAAAATGTCATTTTTGTAATATTTCCTTGTCTTCTTCTAGGCTCAGGTTAAAAAAGCAACTCCAGTTGCTAGCCAGAGAGGACGTGGTCGTGGTGGCTTTGGTTGGGGATTCGGTGGACGAGGTGGTGGTCGTGGACGAGGAAGAGGTAAAAAACTTTCTTTTCTTCCTTATAACATATGCCTCTTATAGACGAACTCTTTTTTGCTTTGCTTTGCTTTCCTTTTTTCCTTTGTTTCTATTTAAAGAACTTGAAACTTTATACACTTTTTTACAGGAGGCTGGAACCAAGGTGGTTGGAATCAGGGCTATAACCAAAACTATAACAATTATTATAACCAAGGCTACTGTGGATATGGTGGCTATGGCGGTTATGGCTATGATTACAACTATAACTACAACCAAGGTGGCTATGGCAACTGGGGTGATTATGGACAGAATTATGGATATGGATATGGTAAGTTGATGCTTCAACATTTCTAATTTTGAATATGTAATTTTAACAATACTTTTAAGTCTGGAATTTGATTTATTTTAATGTTACATTGATTGTTAACTCTGTTAATGGCATAAATCACTTGGGTCTTGCCAGTTTTACATTAGATTTATCTACTTGAAGATAAGTAGGTTAGACTTATATGGGTGCATTTTATTCACATAACTGAAGTCTGTAGGGGGTGATAATTGTTTATTTTATTTAATATAAATTTCTTTACTTAGTTTTAATCTAGGTTTTAACATTGTTTTAAACTTGGAATTGTTTTTCTAGGATATGATTATGGTGGATGGGGCGGCTATGGACAAGATCAAGGTGAGTAGATATGTAGCTACTTCTTTTGCATGTTTACTTATGGTGAGCATTTGCACCATATCTTCCCTCAGCATAATTCAAATTTCTAAAAAAAACTTTAAAGTAACCCATGCTTCTCTTAAAGTGACTGGCTTAATCTTTCAACATTTCTCTAGCTTTATTACTAATATTGCTGCATGCCTCTTCATTAGCAAATCTCTTAGCTATTTGCTTATGGCTACAAAGCTGGTCTAGTTAATAGAACAGACTTGTAAATTACTAGCTTTTTACTCTATTGGGTAAAGTTGTCTAAATCTTTTAAAAGCTTTTTAACTTAAATGATATCTTAATTTTCTGTAGTGCAGTAGTTAAAAGTAATCTTTTGATTTTTTTAGTATTGTGCCATTTAATTTAGTTTCTTTCTTTTTCAATAGATTCATTCAGCTGAAACTTCTAATATGGTGGTTGAATCTGCATAATTGTATCAACATATACTGATGCTACCATTGATCTTCTCTTTACTATAACATGTCAATTTGGTAAACTTTAAAAAAAAAATCATTTTACTTAGAATTATGATGGGCTTTTATCATTTTGATATACATACTTTTACTAGGACTAGAATACATGAGTGGTCCAAAGTTTATGGCTTGCATGAAAGACCCATAATACTATTTCTGCTGCTGCAGTATGAGGGCTGTTCTAGTAATGTCCATGACTTTGGAAGGCAGCTTTGTGGTGGTAAAAATCATTTGAGCTTTCTTGGCTTTGCTATGAAGAAAAATTTTAAACTACCAGTGCATCTCTCCTCTGTTGTGTCCAGGCCTTCCAATCCATGCTATCAGTAGGAACAGCCCTTTTAGAATCTACTCCCCTGTTAATGGATTTCACCTGACTATAGTTTCAGTCTAAATTTTACTCTTGTATATGTGTGACACCAATGCTGCTGCTCTCCACTTGTGATAACAAAGTCATGCTCTCTGGCAAGTACCTACTATACAATTCTAACATACTAGTACTATTATGAGCAGACTTGTTACAAGTGTTGCCGTTAACATGGCATATTGCCATGTTGGCACATTGCTGTCTGTACTGTTTACAGCATACATTGATACCTTTTGATCTACAATATTGTCACCTTTTTTGGTAGGTCAACAAGCTGGCGGCTATTCTGGCAAAGCTGCAAAGAGTAGAGGACATTCTGGCTATCACCCTTACAGTCGCTGATTCATTTCAAGTGTAGGTCTGTATCCTGTTCATTCGTTAACTTAATGCCTTTTCACTACTGCCTTAAGGGCTATTCCAGAATGATACTGGAGGAAGAAGTGGCTGGGACTTCAGAGAATGGACTAATCGCTTTTATTTTAACTTCTTGTACTTTTTTCTTTTTTTCTTTATTTTTTTTTTTTTTTTTTTTTTTATTTTCTTTATATATATATATACTCCCCTCCCCCTTCCATTCATTAAACTTTCCTCCTCATCTTAAAATAAATTTAAAAAAAAATGTTATTTCTCTACTTTGCCTTTCTCCTCAACAACTCTTTCTGGAATGGCCCTTTACCATTTTTTATTTTTTGGGTCAGATTACTTTTGAAGTGAGTCATATGTATTTATCTAACACTTAACAATGGGAACATTGCATGATATTTTTCCCCCATTATAAACTTTTTATATTAGTGTTTTCTTTTTTTTAAAATCCATATTTATAGCTTAATTCTTAGGCTAGGCTTAAAAATCTTCTCAAAGATTTAAGCTGGCAGCTTTAACTAGCAGTTATCTAAATACTTCTTTTTTTTTTTTTTTTTTTTTTTTTTTTTTTTTTTTTTTTAAGGCACTAAAATTAAATCTTGTGCTACTGCTGCTGGCAATTTTATTGCAATGGCAGAAAACCTCATAAGGCCTGGTACAACTGGTTACTGGGGAGGGGGTTGTGCTTTTATTTACTGTAAATTTCTTTTATGCTTTTAAAATGCATTTTATTTTCCTGTCTCCAAAGCTTTTCATACTACATTTACTTTCCTTGAAACTGCTTGTTTTGATGGCCTTAAACTTGCACAACTTGGTTACTGTTGGTTTGGTGCCAGCTGTGAATGTTAACCAAATCAACTATGCTAAACTACAGCAGTGTTCCATCTCTTCACCCCCCCTCTCCCACCACTCTTACTGATTTTCTTTATTCCTTAAAAACTAACCAAAAAGTGCCAGCTTATATCATTGGGCATTCTAATGCTGTTCCCATTTTATAAATAAGTAAATAAAAAATACCCTCAGTCTTTGAAAAAAATCTTTCTCCTGCTATAACAATTTGTCCATAATATTTATAGAATCTAACTTTTTTGACAAACTATCCCAGAATGTTCATGTACAAAATCTTTAACCAGATTGCTTTCTTTTTATCAAATCTAGGATGGGATCGTACCAACCTGTCGAAAACTTGAGTCTGTGTACAGTCATCAAACATTTGATCATGCTATCATGAAGTAGAAATCACTCCCATCTCAGGGTGAAATTATTGTGCAGCAGCAGTACTGGTTGTCATAATAAAATGTTTTACATAAAAAAAAAAAAAAAAAAAATTGTCTTTCTATTTCACTTCAGCGTGTTTTTTTTTTTTTTTTTTTCCTCTAAAGATATGTAAAAGCTCTTCCATGTTTTCAGTCATCTAAGTGGTTTCATCCTAATCTCTGCCTTACTGTGGTGATTGCATATTTCTCATTTAGACCAGTTTTGATTACACTGGCACTGAAATTTTAGCAAGTATTCTTTCTTTTTAATTAGAATAAATTGTACTTATTTAATTAGAAAGAATAAATTGTACTTATTAGGGTTAACGTGTTAACACAATTGTGGAAGGGTTTAAATCATTTTTATTATTCTATGAAACTATTAGTCTAGTGCTAAGTTGATTTTGACCAAGTTACAAAAAGAACTTGTGTGTATGTATATGCATGCTGAGAGTAAGATCTAGCTCAAATGTCATATTTTGAGCATTGTTGGATCAGTACTAAATTCAAATATCTTTATTTTTCAATTCTATTGTACTTGCTATTTTTTCTTTTTATCCTGACAAACAATTCCAACTTGACTCGTATTAAATACTGGTATAAGTGACTTGAATAATATTCAAGTTGATTGGTGTGCCTTAAATCACATTGCCAAAATTAACTCATTAATCTCATAAGAGAACCATTTCAAAATTACTTTGGAAGGGTGCAGCCCAAAAGATCAAATATATTACTTGTTTTAATATTGCTCCTGTAAAACCTCACAATGAGGTTTTTCAGAATCTTATGGTTTGTGCTGGTATCTGGTACAAACTTGAATCTATAGAACATTTCTATTTGAAGAGGTTTTTATGTTTAGCTGTCAATTTCACCCATTTACTCGTCAAATAAGTCTGACAGGAAGCAATTTTATATATGAAAGCAATTAACACTCCTTGATGTGCAGTGATGCAAACTAGCAAGTGTTCTATTGTAATTAGGCCTAAATTCATGTTAATTTTTTGTGCAAGTGAAAATTTAGTTTGTATCCAAATTTTGCATAAACTGGCAAATGAATAATTTAATTTAAATAAGCTTGGGAATATTTTTTTTTTAAATTTAGTTTGAAGCATATTCTTGAAATAAAATAAACTTGAATTTTGCAGAACAAATGAATTTTATTTTATGTGAGTACTAGCTGAACTGGTGGCTATACAAGATGTGCCAGTCTGGTATTCAATTGTGTATAGTTATAAGCTACTAAATGTCTGTTAGGCTGAAAAATTTAGATGTGATCTAAGGCAAAAAAAAAAAGAAAAGTTATCTACATAAATATTGGGTTAATCCTAAATATCTATTCAAAATCAGGTGATTTATATTTACTGTAAACTAAAATCTGCTACTTTAAAAATTGTATGAAAATTATTTTAAAAGGAATTGGCACTGAGAGTTTTTTTTATATAAATTTGATATTTAAATATCCTTTATACTATTAAACTGAAATAAATCTAGGATAAACATTTGATTTCTGTTGTTGACTATTTGGTTTTATATACTACCTTTTTTTGCAAGTTTAGTATTATATGCTAACTTGCTGTTGCACTCATTGCTTTTCCTTATTTAAAAATTTTTTTTGGCTGTGCTGATTGGCTAAGTACTTTATTAAGTGTTATACTTAATTTTTCTTTTGCCACCCACACCTCAAATTCATTCTTGACTTTTAAGTACTCTGCCTTAATGTCACAAAGGGTGTGTGTTTTTTAAGTGCCAATTAATTTCCACTCATAATAGATAGATGCCTCTTGAGTTTAATAAAAACTTACTATACTGGTATAAGCTAAATTTCTTAAATGCAATTTTTCCAAAACTGACAGCATTAATGTCACTACAACAAAAAAAGGTGCTTTCAGAGGTTTTTAATGCTATTGTAAATGATTTGTTTTTTTTGTAAAGTAATCGGCTTCAACCACTCTCATTTTCTGACTTTTTTTTTTTAATATAAAAACACACCCAGTGGCTAACAATTTCAAACTTAGAAAGGCATAAAAAGATTCAAGTACAATGTATAAATGTGTCCATAGCTGGTTTTTTCTTTATTTGTCAGTGTCTAAAGGCACTTGCAGTAAAAAAAAAAAAAAAAAGTCTATGCTGGTTAAGGGATAATTTTAAAATCAAAACCACTATCTTCCCCTAAAATAGCCATAGCAATTCACAAATATTAAGTGTTCAATTTTCTAAGCCTTATATTCTAAAAGGTTAAGTTTAAGAAAAGGCTTTGTTACACTTGTGTATATATTTTTAAGAAATATTTTTCCATGTTAGGATGAGCCCAAACTAGAAGAAACAGTTTCCATGAAGTATATCTAATTTTTCTTCTCAGTAAGTTCATAGCAACAAAACTTTAACTACTCACTTGAGTTGTAAATAGATGTTTTAAGAAACGTCAGGAAAAGACAAGATTGTTAAACAGTTTTACTAAGCTGAACAAAATGTTTAAAGTGGAAAAATATTTAGATTGAAAATTTTAACTCTTAAAACAATTTAAATCAAGAACTGAAATATTTACATTGTATAGGCTATCTCCCCTCAAAATCAAACTAGAAAAGTGACTGATAGTTTCATCTCTAAGCAAGTGTGGAAATATTTCACAATTTACAAAAACTTAACTTTGTTTCAACAGTTGAAGAAAAATTCCCATGAAATTCACAAAACCGGTTTTTTAATTTTTTTTTTTATTTTATTTTATTTAACATTTCATTTTTATTAACATTTTCTAGATACCATCAGATCTTATCCATTAACCTTCATATAAGATAATCCCTTACCTGTATCAAATTTTCAAAACTTTGTCAAATTCATAATTGAACATTTAATTTTATTTTAACCATAGTCTATTGAATAAGATAGCTAAAACTGGCACTAGTTGGAATGAGCATGATAATCTCACAAATATATATATATATATATATAATTTTTTTTTGTGTGTGTGTGCTTTGTAAGATAAAGAATGGAAGCAATAGTTTTTGATGACAAATGGCTTTAAAGTGACATCCTTATTGAATTCAAACAAAAATGTCATATATAACAAATTAACATGCTCCGTTAAAAAAAAAAAAAAACTTTGCATTATTATTAACATGGTTTTAAAATGTGTTTATAATTAAGAAATAAAATCAAATTGTTACAATTTGCTTGTTTTTGAAAACATTTAATACAATAAAGTAGCCAGCAGAGAAATTCAAAGATACTGCTTAATCAGATAATCAAGTCTTGACCACTTGCTTCAAATCTACCAAGTTCCAAGTATATTTGAAAAAGCATTAGTAGTTCTAATATAAAACTTGTCTTTTTGGCACACTAAGGTAAGATATTTTGTGAAAAAAATCAAAATAAATCAGGAAATTTTTAAAATATTGTCCAAGAATTTTGATAACTATTGCAAAAAGTATTCACATTATTTGTATGTGAAGTAAATTTATAAAGAATAGGAAATTATGAATCCTGGCACAGACTCTTAAATTTTGTTGGACTACCATATATTCCGGTAGGATTTTGTATATAGTAAAGATAAGCGCAGAAAATTCCAGTGACATTAGGAAATAAATTCTTAGAAATAAACCAAAAAATCTTTTTTGTACGTGCGCGCTTAAGCTTTTAGATCATAATTAACATCCAAAACATTTAACATGTCATACTGAATAACTTCCCTTGGATTTCTTTATCGAACTTCATTCTGATTTTTTAGGGATTCAAAATAATTCTCTTTTGGCCAAAATAATTCTCTCTTTTGGCATAAGTTTTCGATACCTAAAGTTTAAAATGAAAAAACATTCTTTATTTCATTTTAGCTTTAATTGAAAGCTAAATGATTAAATTTATTATTTACATTAAGTAAAATATTCCGGTGTTTCAGAGATTGCAATGTTAAATTTAATTTCGATTTCTTAAAAAAAAAGCGGTCATTTTCTTAATTTTAAGAAATTTCTTAACTAAACAAATTTATCGATTTTAAAATTCTTCCATATATATATATATATATATATTAGAGTAAAATTAGAAAATTTAAAGTTAATCTGATTTGAAATAAATTATTACTTATAGCATAAAAGATGCAACCATGATTTGTTACTGTAGTTTACTGTACTGAAAATTTAAATTTATTAAACATTATTAGTTTTAAAATTAAATTAAACGTCTTTAACAAAATAACTGTCACTACTAAAAAGAATAAACTAAAAGAAATTACGAACAAAAACAATTTTTGGTTTCTCCTTAAAGTTAAAAAAAATTTACTCGATTGAAGTATGAACCACACTAAATGTAAATACATAAAATATTTAATGAAATAGTAATTGAAAAAGTAAAACTTAACTTTAAATGTTAAACTTTTAACGCTGAAGGGAAAATCTCTTGAAAAGTAATAATGAGCAAATTTTTCTGTAAAGGGACAAAACTATTAGATCACGTGACCTTTTCATAATAAAGTCAATTCGAGCCTACCATAGCCGAAAAAAAAGGAACGTATTAAGTAAAAAATTATTTCAAAAATAGAACTGCAACTATGTTTATTAATCTTTTCAGTTTTGGTTTCATAAATTTCGTTTCCACTTAATTACTATGTCACGTCCAGGAAATAATCAATACATAATTTTACATGATTTTAAAACTATTATAAATTATTATTATTAAAATTTTTAAAAAAATGAAAAAATTCTTGTAAAAATTCATTATTCATCGGAAAAATTTTATTTCTTCAGACAATAGTGTCCTTAATATAACTTACTTACAAAAGCAATTAAAAGCTTTTCTAATTAAATAATGTCATCGTTTTATTGCATTTATTATTTTTCAAGTCAGAGCAGATTTTTAATTAGAATAGTGCGAAGTTGAAAAAAAAATTAGGTGATTTGCATTCTCCAAGGTGTCCTACTTTTAGTGAATAAAAAAAAATCAGGAAATAGGTATTTTGCGAAATTTTATGAAATTAATTAAGTGG